AGGCTCTTGTAGGCTTTGAGGTTTGTTCCCCTCTCCCAGGTATTCTCCTCTGCATCACATCCCTGCCATTTCACCAAGAACTTATGGTGATCTTTTCTTGAGGTGTGAATCACTCGATCATCAAGAATAGCTTCAGCACACCTTTTCCCGGTTGAATTGGGGCCTCGAATACTTGGTATTGTGAGTTGGCTTCGTGAAGGATCCTTCATATCTTTTCGAAAAGGTTTCAGGAGACTGACATGAAAAACGGGATGGATTTTCCACCAAGCTGGGGTATCCACTCGGTATGCAACTTTTCCAATGCGTCTTTCAATGGACAAGGGTCCAATATATTTTTGCAATAGGCGAGGATCATGGACCCCTGCAAACAAATACCGCTTTGGGATTTTGACCATCACTTTGTCCCCCACTTGGTATTCAACAAAGTGGCAATTCTGATCAGCATGCCTCTTCATCCGCTTTTGAGCTTTGACAAGATAGCTCCGCACTATCTCCAAATCAATAGAGGACCTTAATGTTCGTCGACATGAAGGTAAATGGAAAGCCCATTCGAGCCATGATAGACACGGGTGCTACCCACAACTACTTAGCCTCGACTCAGGTGGAGCGCCTTGGCCTAGTTGTAGGAAAGAAAAAAGGTCGTGTCAAGGCTATCAACTCACCTCCTCAGCTAGTGGGTGGAATAGCCAAAGAAGTACCAGTGAAACTTGGCCCTTATGAAGCAAAACTCAACCTGTACATAGTGATCATAGATGACTTCGAGTTGATAGTGGGGTTGGAATTCCTGAGGCAAACCAGCATCGTGCCCGTACCATATGCAGACATGCTAATGATGATGGGAGCAAATGGGGACAAGCCATTATCCCGTACATGCCCATGAAGATGGCCGTTGAGAACATCTCGGCCTTGTAGCTAAAGAAGGGAGTCAGAAGTCATAAACCTACCTTCCTGGCTACCCTCTGCATTGAAGATATTGAACGCTCCTCGGGTCCCATTCCTGCACCCGTGAAGGAGCTGCTACTGGAATTTGAAGACATCATGCCACAAAAATGCCAAAGCGTCTCTCGCCTAGGCGAACTGTGGACCATGAGATTGAGTTGGTGCCGGGTGAGAAGCTACCTGCCCCGGCGTTGTACAGAATATCACAACCCGAACTTACCGAACTTCGGAGACAATTGATGGAAATACTAGACACAGAGATCATCGTACCCTCCAAAACCCCATATGGGTTCCCTGTGCTATTCCAAAAGAAACATGGTGGCAGTCAACGACTCTGTGTGGATTATCGGGCTCTAAACAAAATCACCGTGAAGAACAAGTACCCTATTACGCTAATGGCAGACTTATTTGTGCGATTATTGTCTGTCAACTGAGGTCTCCTCCGTACGCTAAACTAGTTTGTCAGTGCCGTACGGGAAAACCAATGTTATGAGCAATTGAGAGAGAGCAGAAAAGAGAATTGAGAATGAAAGAAAGCTTGATTGCATTGAATGAAAGCTATTACAGAAAAATAACGCGGTGTCGGGGGGAGAGACACCAGTACAGAGAATTGTTTGCTTGCTAGAAAGTTTGATTGCTTGGTCCCTCTTAATAATGCTTAAAAAAAGTAAACCAATATTACATGACTTGACCTAAATAAGCTGTAAAATCGCACTTAAAGAAAATGCAGTAAAACTACTCTATAAATAAATATGTTGCGGCGTGCAATCCGATCCCATGAATATCACGCACAATAGAACCCCAGTCTCATTCAGTCATCAATCTCCCCAGTCTCTCGGTGTCACGACCCGAAATTCCCACCTTCGGACCGTGATGGAGCCTAACATTTCACTTGCTAGGCAAGCCAACATTAGAATAATATTATCTATTTTTAAAATAATTTTAAATTTATTAATAACAAGGAAGCAAATGCGGAAGAAATTTTGAAATAATCCTCGTGTCGTCAACACAATCCAACAACAAACTCGTCATAACTAGTACACCAATTCTATAACAAAGGAATGCATATGCGAACTTAGATGACGCTAGTATATCATTTACATCAAACGATAATTCGGTTCGGAATTGGAATGGACAACATTTTACTTATTCTTTAACAACCACAACTACAAACCTTTTTAACTCCTTTAAACTCAAATCATCAACACCTAAGAATATACACCTAGACAGCCCAATATATGCTTCTTATACGGTACCTTATACACTTCCTTCTTCCAAGTTCAAGAAGTATATCAAAAATAACACAACAACAGTTATAATGTCATGCATATGTGTATAAATATCATATCACGCATAGGTATATGCGTACATAACATAATCAAGCTTCTGAGGGAATCCCATCATATCATCTCGGCATCTGCGGATGAAATCATCAACGTATACCACTTGATCAGGTGTTGGTGCGTATATAACGACGTAACATTTCCCATACCCCATATACATATAATATATGCGTATATTACACCATCTGGTCATGGGTCAATATACATATATAAATGAATGCAATGCATAAGAAGTAAGGCAATAAGATCTCTCGGGATGTCATAAGATCAATATGCCTTCGGTTAATATCATGAAATAACCTTTATCAACTTACATATTTTTCGAGATCCATGAACAGACGATATAATAATAGGACACATAGGGAATCAAGAACATAGGCACCCCTAGTATTTCTAAGAATAGAGTCATTTGTAAAAGTTCTGCGTTTGCTCGTTTCATTTGTATCAAATGGATCATGCCAGAAGGAAAGAAGGGATAGTCTTAACATATGAAAAAGACTTAGACTTCTACAAAGTAGAAACAAGTCCATTGGCAGCAACTTTGTCTTTAGAATTAGGGTCTGCGCCCACGGCGTCGTCTGCGCGCATGACGCTGTTGGCATCTGCCTATGGCTGAGCGCTGGTGATGGCTATCGGTAGGGAGATAGAGGCACATGCGCGCTTGTCACTTGGAGATGTCGAGACCACGGGGCCGACCGTGGCATTGGGTGTTGGGAGGCTTGCCAGTACGCCACGGGGCGCGTCCAAGGGGTCATGGGACATGGCTGGAAAGCCGCCCATGACATTCTCCCCCACCTGAGTTGGCGACGTCCTCGATACCTTACTTGCAATATAATCATCAATTAGGCTCTCGTAGGCTTTGAGGTTTGTTCTCCTATCCCAGGTATTTTCCTCTGCATCACATCCCTGCCATTTCATGACCCAATTCTATCCACGATAAAACCGCCATGTGTTTTAGTAATAATAGAGACCAAAAGTGCTCTTATTTTTAAAACGGAAAAGGGTCAAATATGCCCATTAAATATTAAAAATAGAGCAGTTATGCCCTTCGTTTGCATTTGGGTACAAAATTACCCTTGCCGTTAATAAAGTGGTTCGCCTTTGCCCTTTCCCACTAACAGACTCCACATCAAGGATAATTTTGTACCCAAATACAAATGGAGGGCATAATTGCTCTATTTTCAATAGTTCAAGGGCATATTTGACCCTTTTCCGTATAAAATAATACTTTTTTGCTGAGTTGAAAATCCATGTTGAGAAAAAGTCTTCTCTGTAAAAAAAAAAAAAAAAAGAGGCAAAGGAATGGCTTTCCATATCTTTTACGTAATAATTACTACAATGACAAGAAATCTCACCGGAAAATCCCTCCATCCAGCTGATCACAATATTCTGCTTTACTTTTTTTACTTATTATTTTCTTACTGGATTAAATTCGTGTGATTTGATTTTTATATTCTTTGAACTCCTAAGTCCTAGCATGTAAGATAACCAAACAATACCCCATTAGAGGGACTCGAATCCGGATCTGCTCAAAGGATACAATGTCATTGTTCATCATTGATGTATCCTTAATAAAATAACCTTTTACATTGTAATATCAAATCTTAATGCAAAATCTTATTATTAGAGTACCAAGCAATTAATGATAAAAACAATTTCGTTTCGTCTTCCTATTTTAATTTGCAACCGCATATCGAAATGTCTTAAGGGGTATATGGTCAAATATACCCCTGAACTATTAAAAATGGAGCAATTATGTCCTCCGTTTGTATTTGGATACAAAATTGTCCTTCATGTGGAGTCTGTTAGTTGGGATGGGGGTGGGGAGGGGGAGGGGGGGACAAAAGTGAACCAATTTATTAACGGCAAGGGCACTTTTGTACCCAAATACAAACGAAGACATAATTGCTCCATTTTCAATAGTTCAGGGGCATATTTGACCCTTTTCCGTTTTTAAAATCTAAAGAGCCAAAATTGCTTAAGTATATATTTAAGGGACCATTTTAGACAGTTCCAAACATAAAATACTATTGTCTTCTTCTCCAAAAATTTACACTAATCTATTTATGTTAGATTATTTGCAGGATTTCTTACTTTATTAAATAAAAGTAAAATATCCTTATAAAAAAGATCTCGATTATATATCTAGTAATAATTTTTTAGTACCTTTCAACTTAAAAGTTTATTAAAGCTAATTCTTTCATATTATTTCTTTTTCTGTCACGACCCAAAATTCCCTCCGTAGGAGGTCGTGATGGCACCTAGTATCTAAGACTAAGTAAGGGCAATTTTGTAACGGCAAGGGTAATTTTGTACCCAAATACAAACGAAGACATAATTGCTCTATTTTCAATAGTTCAGGAGCATATTTGACGCTTTTCCATTTTTAAAATCTAAAGAGCTAAAATTGCATAAGTATATATTTAAGGGAGCATTTTAGACAGTTCCAAACATAAAATACTATTGTCTTCTTCTCCAAAAATTTACACTAATCTATTTATGTTAGATTATTTGCAGGATTTCTTACTTTAGTAAATAAAAGTAAAATATCCTTATAAAAAAGATCTCGATTATATATATAGTAATAATTGTTTAGTATCTTTCAACTTAAAAGTTTATTAAAGCAAATTCTTTCATATTATTCCTTTTTCTGTCACGACCCCAAATTCTCTCCGTAGGAGGTCGTGATGGCACCTAATCTCTAAGATTAGGTAAGCCTATCAATGCAGAATAATAATAGATATCTGAAATAAATAAACTACAATTCAAATAATTACAACTCCCAAAACCCAGTAGAAATAAGTCACAAGCTTATAAGAATTTATCCTCAATGTCTCTATATATATCAAGGTCTAAAAAAAATAAGGAAGCAACATGATAATGATAGAAGGGAACTCCGGAGTCTGCGGACGCTGGCAGATATACCTCGAAGTCTCTATACACCGGTAACTCACTGATATCTGAGATGGTAAGATGTACCTGGATCTGCACAAAAAGATGTGCAGAAGCATAGTAAGAGTACACCACAGCGGTACCCAGTAAGTCCCAAGCCTAACCTTGATAGAGTAGTGACGAAGTCAGATCAAGCCCTACTGGAAAAATAAATAATGACATGGTAAAATGTTTAACAATATAATAAAGTAAAATGACAATGAAAATGAGTCAAGTAGTATATCACCATTTAATTACACCAAATAATAGAAATTAATACCTCGCGAAAACAAAATATAATTCTTTTCAACTTTAAGAAAAATCACAACAATAATCAATTGCGGCCATAAATTAATATCAGTAAGGGCACTCCCGAGGTACCGCCTCGTAGTCCCAAATCATAAATAAATTCACGATATTTCATTTCCTTATATCACGACGGGAGCCTTCACAATTTATTTAAAGAAAATACTTTTTCCGAAATAGCATCTCGCGTTTTTAGCCACCCTTATCACGCCGCATGACTTCTAATAGTTTTCCCTACTAGCCATGCGTATCAAGCCACCCTTATCTCACCGCATGCGTATCAATATTATAATATATCACAATTTGCACCTCAAGTGCCCAATATTTCAATTTGCCAAAATAAATCAACAACAATATTTTTCCATAATAAAGAGCTCACGGCTCATGCCAAAATAATCTAACAATAATATTTTTTCATAATAAAGAGCTCATGGCTCCATCGCAATGAGCACGTAAATCTCACAAAATATTCGGGAATAAATAACTCAACAAAATAATATTTTAATACGTTGCTTCAA